AGTTCACCCTCTTTCTATTTCTCATTCTCTTTAATATGGAGAAGAGGTTGCTGATGCATTTTCCTGACGGTTCATAAATACCCCGCTGTCCCTTGCCAAGTCATCTGGCATTTGCATTTCTTTGAGCCGTGCCTGTCTTTGCAGCTCTGTTCTCAGGTTCTTCGAAGTGGTTCTCCTGAGTGATGCAAAAGTGCTGGTGCCAAAAGAACATTTAACTTATAGATTTCAGAAGTGCTATCAAAGGTTTCCCAGCTATACAAACGCTTGCCCTCCTGATGGTATTTGTGTATGAATCCTTGTAATAAGAATTAATCCTATTCTTTGCAGGGAATCGAACAAGCGAGGAGAGCAATTTTTGTGATCATATGGACCTTTGCATTGAGTCAGTCATTCTCTTTCTCCCTTTCTGTCTCTAAGTTTTTCTGCACCAGGTTTTTGCTCCAGCTTGGCATCTTAATGGCATTGGTTCTTCTTCTTCTTTACACACAGTATCATTTGCCAGTCATTGCTCTCCCATTTTTTCTTCAAGTTTTCTCTTGTGTTCTTTATTTTCAGACCACTTCGTGGTGTATGGAATCAGCCTGGGAAAAACTTGGGGGGAAATGGAGAGCAACAACTGAGAAGCAATACTGTGTGTAAAGGAGGGGAAAAACTGATGCAATTAAGAAGCCAAGCTGTAGTAAAAACCTGAATCAGAAAAGCCCTGTCTCTTTTTTTCCTTGGTACACTGAGGGCAGTTAAACAAAAATTCTGTCATGACTTCTAGGACAAACTTTACACCTAATATCAATTTCACTAGATAGCTGAAATCAATTTAATAGAGATTTTAATTCGTGCACCTATAATAGATAAACACCAAATTAAAACCCACTGAGGTGATCCTAGTGGGGAGTAGAATATAAAATATACGCTGTTAAAATATAGTAATAAAATGCTGATAAAATAAATAATTCAGAAATACTAAAACAACTATCCCTGCCAAAAAAGGATAGAGATAAAATGAACAAACAAGTAAATAAAACAGAGAAGAAAGGAGGGGATGAAATAGTGTCTCGTTCTCAAGGTTTCTCTAATAAGCAGCAGCAGCTTTGCCAAAGGGGGTGTGGAGAAACCTCCCAGCCTCTCCTATAGTTCCTGTCCCCCTCAGCTGAGCTCAGAGTCTCATCCCTGTCAAGGTCAGCCTCTTCCAGATAAAATTTGTAAGTTAAAAGCTAAAAGAGCTGCAGCCCAGTAAAACACAGAAAGAAAAAAAAGCTAGAAGTATTAATAACAACAACAAAAACAATAGTTTAAAATCTATGAGGCTTGCAACACCTTCCAACTCACCTATTTAAGACAGTTCCCCCCTCTCCTCCTAAAACGGAGAAGGGAGGGAGCTGTAGGCAGAAAAAATATAAATACAGAAGTGTTGGAACTAAAACCAAAGTAGAACAAAATAAAACAGAAACAAAATTACTCCCCCCGGGCAGAGGACAGCCCAAAAGCATCTAATCTCTAACAACCGGAAACCGGAACTTTACACCTAATATCCATAGTAGGGGTGTGCATCCCGAAATTCTCAAGCCAAAAAAATATACGAAAATCACTGTTTTGGGTCATTATTGTGATCTCCAGAACAGTAAACACTACTCTGGGAATCTTAGGCATTATGAAAAACATTTCACATTCAGATGGTTACCATCATCAACAGCAGCAGGCATCTTGCTGATCTTCTTAGTGGTCGCTGTGCATCACACCCATGGGAGTATGTGCCTGCACTGATCCGAATCGATGGTATACAAAGCTCACAATGGGATTTTCGCACCTCCCTCCCAGGAACCCCACTGCGCATGCCCAAAGAAGCGGGGCGCGGACATCCCGCCAGTTCTCTTCTAACCGCTGCGCTGTTAACAACTTGTTTCTGCCGGTCGGTGAAGAAGTATTTGTTTTTCTCACGAGGGATTTCTAAATCCGTTTTTCTTTCTTATTTTTTGTCTTTACTTTAAAGACTTTTGACTTTGACAAGCCTTTATTGGCATCTTTAAAGACTTTAAAAATCAAAACTTGAGGGTCGCCGTTACCTCACGGCTTCCCGGGGCCCCCCTCTCTGAGGTAAATATTCTTCGCCTCACCTGAGGGCTCCTTTCTTTTTGTGCCCTTCTGTATTTTTATGCCCAAAAAGTGGGGGTGTTTTAAACAGTGTGTCGGCTGCAGTAGTAAACTTGCCTCCCATGACGGCCACACACTTTGTATTCTCTGCCTTGGAGAAACCCATCGTCCGGAGACTTGTCGCCATTGCTTGAAGTTCTCCAATCAGACCCATAAAAATAGGGCCACGAGACTTCGGGTGGCACTATGGGAGTCCGCATTGGCTTCGTTGCCGGGCGAAAAGATGTCTGCTGAGACCCAGCCTCTCAACCGACAGTGCCTCCGTCGGCATCGGATGACACTTCGACATCCGTCCCACTGCACCGTTCTAAATCGGCATCAGACGTGGGACCGTCTTCATCCAAATGCTTGGCTACGAACGAGGCTTCCTCCGCCTCGACGCCTGCTAAGAAGAAGAGGGTTAAGCACGATACAGAGAAGTCTCTGAAGTCTTCTCTTTTAAAAGACCGCGCATAAGTCTTATGATCTGAGCACTGTCGGTGTGCAAATGGGCTCTGCATTACCCCCTCCTAAGCGGGTGCAACCCAATGTCGATAACCCTCCTGCACCAGAGCTGCCTGTGATGCAACAACTACCTCAAACTGAGGTGCTGGACTCGCCCATTCAGCACCTGAACCCCCTGGTATCGGAGGTCTCTATGGACATTAGACCCATTTCGATCTCGTCCTCCGGAGTCGATGAGGTCATCCCACACAGATCTCAGAGAGATCGTTCTCCGTCGGCATCATTGTGGGCTAGCGATCGATCTGGACCGGACTCTTGTTATCGTCATCCTCGATCTAGATCCCCTCAACATGGGGAGCATCGATATTGATCGGAGGAGTGTTCTAAGTACGGTCATTCCATATCCAGGCTCTCCTATTCACCCAGGCAGGAGTTAAGACCACACTCCCCGACCTGCTTTGAACCACCTGTCCCACCTCCATGGGACCATTGGCAGCACATGCCTTCTTGGTTCAGCTCATATCCAGTCTCGACATCAATGCCATGGCTGACACTGAGGCGACAGTCGGACTGGGACCGTGGGTCATGTCATTCACGTTCTCCCCAACATAAATCCAAACCTTCCGCGTCTCTCTCCAAACCTCCGGAAGAACCTTGTCCCCCGCCTCTCCTTTCCATTCCTCCCCTGCTTTACCATCGCAGACCACACCGATATCGGACACAACTACCCGAAGGGCTGATGTATCCTTGCTACTGACACCGGGGTCACCTTCCAGATCCTCTGACTCAGATTTCAGTGCCGAGGACTCAGATGGGCCCAGTTCAACAGGGGGCCCTTCACCCACGCCTACGGTGTCTGACGACCTTCCGATCTCACCTTCAGAAGACCTTTCTTCATACGGAGATTTGGTCAAAAGGATGGCACTTTCCTTAGGGCTGTCAATAGTCCAACCTCAACCATTGGTGTCGGACACTGTCTTCGATGTTGTGCAACTCGAAACCTCCACAGCAGTCACCCTGTCCATGTCGACCGTCCTTCTCCAGGCAGCAAAGGCTCCATGGGATAAACCATTCTCTATCCCTGTGTCTTCCAGGAGGCTGGATCATATGTATAAGGTCCAGGAGATGGAGGCTGAATTTCTCCATGTCCATCCTAAACCCAATTCGATGGTCGTGTCCTCTTCCGCTAAGAGTAAATGTACCCTTGCTACACCTTCTGATAAGGAGGGGGGAAAGTTGGATTTGTTCGGCAGACGTTTTTATTCAGCTGGAGCTCCAGGAATTAAAACATCTAATTATATCACTTGCATGGGCCGTTATGAGTACTTGCTCTGGGAGCCTTTTACAGATACCTTGACCTCATTACCCGATGACAAACATCAAAAGGCCAGGAAGCTGCAGAAGGAAGGGTTGTAACTTTCTAAGCAAATCATCAGTTCTTCCTTGGACACGTTTTTCAAGATGATGTCTTCTGCAGTCGCCCTCCATAGGCACTCCTGGCTTAGAACACTTCCTGCCAACACTAAGGCATACATAGAGGACTTACCTTTTGATGGACAAGGTCTCTTTCATGCTTCGACAGACTCGGCCCTACAAGACATAGACAAGAGCATTAAAGTGTCTTGGTCGTTGGGGGTCTCTGCCCCTTCTAAGCCTTTCAGACCCCGCTCTTGGTCACATTACAACTCTAGGTGCCAGTACACTAAACCGTCACCAGAGGGAGGCTATAGGCCATGACAGTCCGCTTCTGGGAATAGACAGCAATATCAGTCAGTCTAGACAACGGTACGGCTCTGGACAGCAACATGTCAGACCGAAACCACCCAAATCCGACAAACAGGGCCTTTGACTTCCGCCTGTCTACCTCTTCCGACCCTACCCGCCTCCATCCCTATCTACATGCCTGGACCGCCATTACGTCAGACCAATGGGTCCTTTCCATCTTGACCAGTGGCTATTCCATTGAATTTCTGGAACTCCCACCTCTCCCCATAGTCGTCACCACGCCCCTGTCGTCATTCCTCCTTGAAGAAGTCGCCACACATCTATCGAAGGGTGCCATAGAACCTGTGCCTCTAGACCACCAGGGCCTTGGTTTTTATTCCGGGTACTTTGTGGTACCCAAAAGGGACGGCGGGCAGAGGCCAATCTTAGACCTTTGCGGCCTTAACACCTATATACAATACTGCCTCTGTGGCCTGACGGTGTTCCTGTATCTGGACGACTGGGTTCTGGTCGCGCCTTCCAGGGCCCTTCTCATACAGCATGTATCCCAGGCACACAATGTCCTTCATTGCCTCAGTCTCCAGGTCAACCACAAAAAGTCGCAGCTGGTTCCGTCTCAGAGTGCAGTTCATAGGGGCGATGCTCGACTCCATGGAAGACAAAGCTTTCCTGCCCCGGGACAGAGCCCTCACTCTAGCCACCCTTGCAGAACAGGTTTGGCTACATGACACGTCATCTGCTTTCCACATTCAGCGCCTTCTGGGCCACATGGCAGCTATGACTGCAGTCCTTCACTTCATAAGACTGCGAATGCGTCCCCTTCAGCTCTGGTTCCTAAGGCACTTCAAGCCCCTACGAATGAGCCAGTCGGTTTGTCTCTCTCCATCACAGGAAGCACACGACTCCCTTCTCTGGTGGTCACTGGCAGACAACCTGATAAAGGGTGTCCCTTTCCGTCCCCTTACTCCTGGTCTTACCCTCACAACTGACACCTTGCTGTGGGGATGGGGAGCCCACCTCAATGGCCTCTCCGTAAGTCACAGGTGGGATGCCTTGACTTCTACAAATCACATCAATTTTTTGGAACTTCTGGCAATCAAGCTAGCCCACCAATGCTTCCAGCCCCTTCTCACGGGGAAATGCGTGTCTGTGTTGACAAACAATACAATGGCCCTCTCTTACGTGAACAGACAGACAGGGTGGAATGGTCTTCCGGAGTCTATGGGCCTGGTGCATACCTCTGCACATTTTCCCCATTGCCTCACACATCGCTGGCAATACCAATGTGCATGCAAACCTACTCAGCAGGGGTCTCTCTCAGCGTCACGACTGGGAGCTGAACTGGACTTACCTACGTCCCATATTCTGAAGCTGGGGTACGCCTCACGTCGATGTGTTTGCCATCCGGTGCAATGCAAAGTGCGCCCTGTTCTGCTGCAGAGGGGCGTGAGATCCCAGGACCTTGGGAGATGGGCTCGTTTACCCTTGGAGCAACAACTTCCTTTACATGTTCCCTCCTCTGCTGCTGTTGCTGAGGACGGTCCAAAGGCTCATGAGGGTTCACTAGAAATGCATCCTGATCACCCCCTGGTGGCTGAGACAACCCTGGTTTGCCAACCTCTTTTCGCTGACCAGGGACCACCGTCCCCTTCCGCAGGTGCAAGATCTGCTCTTAGCGGGGAACGGCACTCTTCTGTTCCACGAGATCCACAAGCGCAGACTAACAGCCTATCTTGTGGAAGTTTAACATTTTCAGATAGAATTACTACTGTGTTACTCAATGCCAGGAAGGACTTTACCTGACGTTCCTACAGTGGGAAGTGGACTCGTTTCTTAGCCTTCTTACAGCTCTCAGAGGTACCTCCAGCTTCTGTGGAGCTGGACCTAATTCTGGAATTTTTGCTTTCGCTGGCGGGAAAGGGCCTCTCAAACTTCTCAATTAGAGTCTACTTATCAGCTATTTCTGCCTACTATTCGGGTATTGAGGGTCTCTCTGTCTTCTCTCACCCAATCTCAAAGAAATTCCTGAAGGGTCTGCTCCACTTATATCCGCCGATCCGTTTACCGGTACCTTTGTGGGACTTGCTGCTGGTGCTGCGTCATCTGATGGTACGACCCTTTGAGCCAAGGGCAACTTGTGAACTGAAACATGCCGCCTGGAAAACTGCCTTTCTCGTCGCCATTACCTCAGCCAGGAGGGTGGGTGAACTCGTGGTCCTTCATCACGACTCACCCTTCCTTGTCTTCCTACCAGATGGTGTGAGACTGGTACCTGACTTCTCTTTCCTGCCTAAAGTGGTCTTTCCATCTCAGCGCTGAGATCTTCTTGCCGAACTTCTTTCTTAGCCCGAAAGATGGCCAACAGCGTCTCCTCCATGCACTAGATGTTAAGAAGGCACAACTTTTCCACCTTGACAGAACACGTTCAAGTAGGAGGGACAATCACTTATTTGTCTCCTACTCCAGTCGCTCCACAGGACAAAAGATCTCAGCACAACATCTCTCCAAATGGATTGTTGGCTAATCGCCCGTTGGCTAATCGCCCGTTGCCCTTGCCTGTGCGAGCGCATTCCACAAGATCCATGGCTACATCTACAGCCTTCTTGAAGGGTGCTTCCCTGTCAGCGATCTGTGGGGCTGCAACATGGTCTACTCCGAACATGTTCATCAAGCCACACTGTTGATGTTCGTGAACACCACAGAGTGGACCTTGGTCGTCTAGTCCTTTCGTCAGCAGAGCACTGAGGGTACGACAGCACCCACCTCCAAGTGAGCCACTGCTTTTCAATCTCCCATGGGTGTGCACAGAGACCAGGAAGAAGATAAAAAGGTTGCTTACCTGTAACTGATTATCCTCGAGTGGTCATCTGTGCAGTCACACCACCTGCCCTTCCTTCCTCACTGCTGTCGCTTCAGTACTTTTCTCCGGTTATTGACATGACGGCGGTCAGAAGGAACTGGTGGGTTGTCCGCGCCCTACCTTTTTGGGTATGCGCAATGGGGTTCCGATGCATGCCTGGGAGGGAGGCGCAAAAATCCCATTGTGAGCTTTGTATACCACCGATTCGGATCAGTGCAGGCGCATAATCCCATGGGTGTGACTGCACAGATGACCCCTTGAAGATCATCAGTTAATAGGTAAGCAACCTGTTTTTCTCTGATTCTTATGCTCTCCTGGACAACAGCATTGCTCCCTTCCAGTTAGATCCTTGCGAAGGATCAGGAGCACATCCAGCCAATCATCACTGGAGACAAGCCCCAGAGAAGAAATGTTTAAGGCTTATAGATGCTGCTCTGAGCTAGACAACCATTTTAGAGAAATGAGAGACCCCACACACCAGGAGCTCTTAAATAGTAGTAGTAATTAAGGTACACTTATGGTGGATGCGCAGGGTTAAGACATGTGTCTCACAGCAGTAGGATGATTCATTCATCCCCTGCAAGGAATCTGTAGAGTTACCTCTCTATAGAACAGATGAAGCTGCCTTATAATGAGGCAGACCATTGGCCCTTCTAGCTCAGTATTAGCCTCCTTCAGTCTAAAGAGAAGAGGTGAGATATAAATATTTTAAATGAACTTTACTCTGTGACTGGCAGTGGCTCTGGAAGGTCTTGTAGAGAAAAACCTTCTTCCTGAGATACTCTAGCTGGAGATACCAGGGATGGAATCTAGGAGCTTCTGCATAGGAAGCTGTGAAGAAATGCACACACACACACCTCAGGCTCTGAGATGTGCATTTTAAAAGTGACTGTTTTTCCCCCCTGTGGGCTAAAAATGAGAGGAGGAAGAGCAATTCATGATTACCAGGCGAGGGTCAGCTGACCACATGCCTATGCAAATGGCAGCTGAAGTGAAAAGCACCCTCCCCTCTTCCCAGCCAGCAGCCACAGAAAGGAGCTAATTTGCTAGACAGACAGGAAGAGAAGGGGAAGTTCCCAGGCAGTGTTTCCCAGCAGTGCTCAGGTTCCCAAGGGGTGGAGAGAGAGCTTTAAAAAAACTCAGGAGCTGGAGAAATGTCTCTCTGGGTGCTTGATCCTCAACAAGGGCTGACCTCCAGCTGGGCTGTTCTCCACAGCAGCCATTTTTTGCTGAACTTGAGGCAGGCCCCAGCCATGGGGGGGATTTGGGGGCAATGCCCCCCACAGGTAAGTGCTGCCCTCTCAGACAAAAAGAATCAGAAAAAATCTGGGATTTTTAAAAAATCACTTTTTTAAAAAAGTAAGACGAATGTGGGTGTGCTTCAGTCTCATTTTTCCCAGTCTGAAAAATAAATAGGTTTTAAAAAATGCAATAAAATAAAATTGCAAAAAAATATTGCAAAATGCAAAATAGATTTGGAGATCCCCTCCTTCCTGGCTTACACAGAAAATCAGCCCAGAATAAAGTCTCTCCAGTCAAAAGGATTAGAGGAGAACTAGAGGTTTCAGTGGAGCCGAAGCTGCTGCTTCTGCTGCTGCAAGAGGAGCAGTGTGGCTGGGGTGCCCCCCCAGACTTTCCCATGCCCCACCAACCAATTTTTTTTGGCTATGTCTCTGTGGTCTTCCTGGAAGCTTCTTGGATCTCCTGGGAAATAGAACAATGAGAGGACAAACTTGCAGCTTTCTAAAAGTATCTGTGCCTGCTCTGTTTTTCCCATCAGTTAGGGCATATTTATATCATGGACAGAAGGACTGCATTTCTAACCAGTTTCTTTTGTTCCTCCTTGCTTCAGTCTGGTGCTGTGCTAAAAGAATGCTTGTAAACATTTTCTTTTTAATAAATATTGTAATCTTTTGATGCTGGCAGTGGTTCTCTGTACCACTTAGTCCTCCAAGTGTCTTGGACATGCTATTGCAAGAGGGGCCCCAGGAGGGAGGAAAGCAGTCAGTGGGCCCATGGCTATTTCTCTAGGGGAGCCCCAAAACTATAACTGATCCTCACGGTAACCAGGCTCTGGATAATGGGAGACATAGAGGCAAGGCGTCAGAACCAGGAAGGAGAACTGGGATTCCTGTTCATCCCAGTGGGAAATCCCTAAAACGAACAGGTGGTGACACTTGAGTACCCTAGTGGAAGGAAGTGGTAAACCCCGGCAACGCCTAGGAGTGGGTGGGCAGAGTCAAAGCAGGCCTATTCCATCACATGAATCTAGGAGCTTCTGCATATGAAGCTATTGTGGCATGTCACTGTGTGGCACATATCTCAGTCAGATGGGTTCAGAATAATGGTGGCTCCCTAGTGAGAGCACCTTGCAGGTGCATGTCAACTGCCTTGTTTGTTTTGATCAGCGTTTAAGCAGAGGCACTGTTTGCAAAAACTGGCACCAGTACATAAGGCCTTGTTGACAGGGCTGACATACATGGCTTAAAATGGGTGTCATCACACACAATGTAGTTCATTTACTTTATTTATACCCAGCCTTTCTCCCCAATGGGGACCCAAAGCAGCTTACTTCTCCAGTTTATCCTCACAACAACCCTGTGAGTTAGGCCAGGCTGAGAGAATATGACTAGCCCAAGGTCACCCAGCAAGATTCCATAACACAAGTGGGGACTTGAAGCTGAATTTCCCAGATCCTAGTCTGACACTGTTTTTACACAAAAGTACCAGTTCTTACAAACCGTAGAGGGGGGGGGGGGGGGAGATTTGGGGCATCCACACAATTTCATCCCCTTATTGTCCACTTTCCAGGTTTTCCCTGGCTTTGTGCTGATCTTTTTCAAACTTTGTTTGATATGATGGTTTTGGAAATATGGTAGTCAAAATGTGTTTCCATGCCATGTGGACAGGAAAGTGTTCATTTTTGAAGGTCACACTCATAGTGGTACCATGTCCATTGTGCCAGCTCTTCCATGGCTACCAGTCCTCTTCCACTTGCCACCAGAGTGCTTTTAATAAAAGATCAGTATGTGCTAGATAGGCTATTGTGTTAACCATGACAACAATCTATTGCAATGATCAACCTCAACTAGATAGACACTTGAAAAAGGGCAGGCCGGTAACCAAGGAGGGCACACTGTGTTTCTGATGGAGATCCTCTGGTCACTGGTGTTCGAAAACTGCTGGCCCATACTGTTGTGAATGGTATGGTAAAGAGATGGAGATCCCCCCCCCCTTCATACTGTGGGGCTGAATGGCAGTAGATGTAGGAAATACTACTTTGCATATTGCATGATTAAACTAAGGAATTCACTGCCTCAAGATATGCCACCAGGCAGTACCCTTTCATGGCTTTAGAAAGAGTGAAGTCAAATTTATATTCATAGTCTACCATACTTCTGAATATCAGATGCAGGGTACAAACAATGGGAAGCCTGCTACCTCACCACCCAGTTTCCAAGGCTTCTAGAAGCATCAAGTTGGCCATTGCCAGAAACAGAATGCTGAACTGATCCAGCAGGGCTCTTCCTACATTCATGAGTTACAAACTCAGGAATGTTTCTTCATTAAATGGAAAAAGCAAACAAGCAAACTTGGGAGGTCAAAGAGATGGTACCTAAAGAATAATGTGTATGTTGGGTTGCAGCTTTCCTCAGAGAGTAGAACTGTCTCCTTGATTGTCTTCCGTTTTCCATGCATATGTATCTTTGCTTTTTGCAATTTTTCATACAGCCTAAGGTGAGCCTTCTTGGTTTTTTCACATTCCGCTTGTAAATTGTCATCACTTTAAATTTGTTTATCCTTTTGTTATATTTTTAGCAGAAACTGCAACATGAAAATCTCATCTCCTAGTTCGGTGGTAGGCAAACTGCGGCTCTAGAGCCACATGCGGCTCTTTGGCTCCTTGAGTGTGGCCCTTCCGCTGTAGGCACTGATGGCCTATTCCCTCCATTGTTCTCTATGGTGGTAAAAAAGTAACTTTTTCCCCACCATAGAGAACAATGGAGGGGATGGGGCAACCTGTTTGGGGGCCTGTAGAATTGGACCCCCTGGTTCAATGTTCCTGAAACATGGTGGGTATCTTGGGGAGAGGCTCCAGCAGCTACCCTGCGATTCTGGAGCCTCTCCTTCAAACCCCCTCTCCTCCAGCCCCCAGAATACACCCTATGTTTTCACCATTGACTTTAATGGCCCATAGGATATAATGGGGCCGAACTGCGGGAAGCCCCAGCAGCCCTCAGGCCGGAGAACGTGGAGCAGTCTTGGGAGGCGGATTGGCAGAAAGCAAAACCAAAAGCGCAGGAACTTGAGAGAACTCCAGGAATGGAGCCGGTTCCTCTTCCACAGCCCAAAATGCGACCCACGAACCCTGAGCTTGCTTTTTCTCATTTGCGAGTCTGGCCTCCGCACTCCTTTAACGAGGGAGCCCTAAAGCTTGGGGCGGTGGGAGTTTCTTTGCACGCAGCTTGTGCAGCTCTTCTGCTTGCCCACCTCTCGCCTCTGCACCTCATCTTCTGCCAGGCATGGAGGAGCCCAGCTCGCCCAGGCTTCGCACTGAACATGTTGCTGACTCTTGTTTTGTAGTGCAGAAGGTTAAGGTCGTAACATTTACATTAGGTTAAATATGCCACAAAGCACAGTCATTTCTAGGAAACCAACACGTTTGAATATTTATAAGACAAAAACTGATGGGCTGCCTAGCTGGAACATTATAGCAAAGCAAAACAAAGCAATCATGGATGTTCAAAGGGTTACACATAAATACCATTAGGGGTAGGGGAGGAAACAGTTTTCATAGGAACACATGGAGTTCTCTCATAATGAGTCCGGCCAAGGTTAGTATTGTATACTTTGACTGACAGTTGCTCCCCAGTGTTTCAGGCTGTCTTTCATCTCACGCACTATCAGATCTTTTAAACCAGAGATGCCAAAGATGATACCTGGGACCTTCGCATGCAAAGCATTTGCTCTGCCAATGAGCCATAGCCTCTAAACTGTACGGATGTTTGATGCCCACCTCTATGGATAGAAACCAGAATCCTGGTGGCAGGCTCTGCACTTTCTGTACTTTGGATGTCCATGTGTACAACAGCCATTGCCACACAGGCCTATCTGCATAAGGGTAATTTGCAGGTTTTGTGCTGCAGTTTGCAAATCACATCTATGTGCCCAGGGGCTCTCATGCAGAGGCTACTGAGCAAGTCTTGGTATTGGGAGGGGGCCATAGAATTCACAAACATAATGCTGACACTTAATGTGCCTATAGTGTATTGTGGTTATGATTCCCAAAGCAAAATAACTGAGCCTTTGACCCCACCATTTCTCAATGAAATGCTGTTGTTCCAGCAGTTACTTGTTCCAGAAATTTGTAGGTTGCCTCTCTAGATCTGCTTGAGGTGGCTCACAACTAAAACAACAAAGCAAAACCAACCTTGACAATAAGAAGGACTCAATAAAGACAAATAACATCAAAACAAGTCAATAAAGTAAAGAAATAAAAATGAGACACTAAAAACATGCCAATTAAAAAAAAAAGATAATAAAGAAACAAGCCAGGGTATAAAAGCATATAAATCAAATGGAGCAGTCAAGAATGATATTGATAACACAGTCCTCAGGTTATTTACAAATAGGACAGAACCAGAACCAGATGGATCACCACTGGCAGTGAATATTAATGATAATTAAAAGATGACCTAATGGATTTGTCTAACTCTGACATTTAACAGGAAGGGGCCTTACCTTAGTTTTATGGCCCATCACCTCCAGTGAACCCTTTCACACTGAGCCACTGCTGAGGAACCCCTGAGTGTGTTGCAAAACGTTCTGGAGCACATTCTAATTAAGATGTCCAGGTCCTTCTGGCAAGGGGGGGGGGCTCTTGTTGGCAATGGAATGACATTGCTGGTGATGCACTATACAGAGTTTGCCCCATATGCCAGAGTGCCCCTGGCATCCTCCTCCAATGTGCAGGCCACTTCCAGACACATGAGGAGTGATTTGGGATGCTGCTAGCTGAGGTTTGGCAAGCCTAATTCTAAAATACATGCTCTATTCCTGCAGGCACTAGGTAGTCCTATGGGATTTTAGCAGTGCCTTCCTTAAACAGAAAATATAATCCAGAATGTATCCCACACTGCCTTATAGTGGCATGTT